TAATAAGCTGCAGCCCATCCTAGGAAAAACAAAATATAAGAAAATATACGTGTGTTTACTTAGCCTCGCCTTATATTATCTGGTACTAAGGATAAGAGCTCCCATCAGCACGTCATAACAAAGATACGAACTTCCTGTGATAAGGCTGTGTACTGGGTCTGTTTACACGCCGAGATTGATGTAATGTGATCATCTTTCGTCGTTATTGTTCACGGTTTTCTATTCAAGCACCAGTATGAGTGTCGAGGCAGATTTGTTCCTTTAGCCGTAAGCTGGAAACCTTTCGTGACTTTAAACCCTTGAGTACGATGACTTTAAACCCTTGTGTACGATGACTTTAAACCCTTGAGTACGATGACTTTAAACCCTTGTGTACGATGACTTTAAACCCTTGAGTACGATGAATTTAAACCCTTGTGTACGATGACTTTAAACCCTTGAGTACGATGACTTTAAACCCTTGAGTACGATGACTTTAAACCATTGAGTACGATGACTTTAAACCCTTGTGTACGATAAGCTTAACCTTTTGAGTACGATATCCCGATAACCCTAAAAGCTTGAACCATTCAGGACGGTGACCTTAACTTCTAAACATTTGTATGGGAAACACCGTCAGGATATATGAAGCGTTAATTACTAGAAAGGTTAATAGAGGTATTTATTTTTATTTTTATTTTAATTACATCATAGCGGTTGTAAAGTGAACACGTTATAAATATACTTCACTATGGCATAAAAAAAAATTGCGTCATTGTACATAATCCTATTACCACAGCACAAGACTAGACAGAATAGAGAGATTACAGTTTCTACCACAAAATCAGATACAATATTACACAATTAATATATCTTATGCTGTAACATCTGATAATGATTTACATAACAAGATGTTCTGTACCACACAACTGACACTATTAAGAAAAAATATTATGCCACACTGACTGTTTTGAATAGAGAAATCATTTATACCACATCATATATCAATGTCTAAAACATTCATGACGGAAGTATTTTAATTTTAGTTTTACATTTGCTTTGTTATTCTAAAACATATCTTGAAAAACGAGTAACTGTGAATCATTTAAAGTCAACAAAAATAAATGTTCTTTTCTATTTCTATAAAGACAAAATTCTTCATCACAATCCTCACTTAATGTCAACGGTGCAGCTTTACGTTAAGCGATCCAGCGACTTTAACCTTTTTAACCTCACAAGTGTACTATGATCAGGTTACGTCAGGATCACCTCACATACATACACACAGACTACCTGAGGGCACACACAGATACACACAGACTACCTGAGGGCACACAAACATACACACAGACTACCTGAGGGCACACACAGATACACACAGACTACCTGAGGGCACACAGATACACACAGACTACCTGAGGGCACACAGATACACACAGACTACCTGAGGGCACACATACATACACACAGACTACCTGAGGCACACACACAGATACACACAGATACACACAGACTACCTACACACACAGATACACAGATACCTGAGGGCACACATACACACACTACTACAGAGAGGGCACACAGATACACACACACAGACTACACACAGATACACACAGGAGGGCACACACAGATACACACATACACACAGACTACACTGAGGGCACACATACATACACACAGACTACCTGAGGGCACACACAGATACACACAGACTACCTGAGGGCACACACAGATACACACAGACTACCTGAGGGCACACAGATACACACAGACTACCTGAGGGCACACAGATACACACAGACTACCTGAGGGCACACAGATACACACAGACTACCTGAGGGCACACATACATACACACAGACTACCTGAGGGTACACATACATACACACCAGACAGATTACCTCGATATTGATTACGCTTCACCGGATCAATTAAAACTAAATAAAGTCAGGATTGAAAACTAAAGTGTGAATCAGTGGTTGTAAATATTACTATTATACTTTGAAAGAAAAAATAATACTGAAAATTCTAAAAAAAAATATTCACTATAGGTTTTGAAGATCAGTTAATGCCACCATTAATGTACATTTTATAACAGTGGTGACTCAATATTCTATTATGACACATTGGTGATCCTCTAGCGAGTGATTTTGTTCAGTTACTAATCAGCAGAAAAGTTTTTTTTTTCTTATTCATCAATCAACAGAGGCCCTTTTGACCTATCGATAGAATGAGGACTATGTGTCATCAATTGATCACAGTCATGTAATCATATTGGAAGTGATCGGAATAATAAAACGGTCAACCTGAGACCCGAGAGAGAACACTCATTGTCTCACTCTCCTGACGGTGAGGACGAGGTTGTATATGCCGAGACCCACAGCCACTGTCACCCCTGCCATCAGCACCAACAGCCACATATTGCTCATAGTGGCAGTGGAACGAGATGTGGGTGGTGACGACACCGATTCAGTCAGAGGTGAAGGAATCCCCATCACTGGTGTGAACGAGAGCTCATCTCGGCTCGCCATCACAGAGGTTGAAGGCATTAGTGTGGTGGCGTGGGTGGCAGTGCTGGTACACATGTTCACAAAGTTTTTCCACGAGTCATTCTTGAAATACTGTTTGTCGTCACAGCCAAAAGCCCACAAGGAAATCGTCTGCATTTTCAGCTGAAATTTCACAAACTCTTCACCGTCACAAACATGAATTTTCCTGTCGCTGCTGGAGACAGGCATTAGGCGTCTGTTTACATGTAGAGAAAAACCGTGGTAGTTTGCTTCTGTACGAGTATAACGAATGGAAACTTCATTCCACATTCCAGTAATGAGGCTTAAATTATTTTTAGTGTACGTTTTCACGTATCCTTTCTCCTTTAAAATACAATCTCGAATCACCTGAGCGATGGTCAGCTGAAAGTTTTCTTGAGGTAAAATAAAGAAAGTGTGGCTTCTGTCTTTAATATCTTTCACAGGTGTGTTTGGCGTCACCTGTTCACCAATACAGTGTTGTGGACACTGCCAGACCAGCTGGGCTTTGATCACCTGCAACACCTGCACCACCACCTGCCCACACACCTGCCTCACACCTGAACTTATTGAGTAAACTTGGTCCCGGTGATGTGCGGACACTTGAAGAATTTGGTCAGTGGTGAAGTTAAGAAATATTTCAGTCCAAATGTCCAGGGGCAAGAAAGCCTCGGCGGGCCAGACACTTGTTGCAGGTGCTTCCCCGCCCAGAGACACAACAACCTTGTCCTTGGCCGCATGATGAGGTCGGAAGCCTAGACGCCACTCGAGGTCGGGAGCCTTGAGGATGAAGTCCAAGGACCAGTGTTGACTCTGTGGTCTGACGGTGAAGGAGGTGGGCAGCAGACTACTGAAGTCCGACCTGACCTCGTGTGGGGAGTAGGGCACACAAGGCTGCCAGGGTACCACAGTGCTCCCACCTGCCAACAGTGCCACTGCCAGCAGGAGGAAGGAAGTGATGAGTGCCATGTCTTCCAGGAACTGTAGACAGCAGGGGCTCCACTTGCCACCACACCTTGCAAGCGACTAACGCGCACCACTGATGCCACACTCTCCTTATACAGAAACACTGCCACTACCTTGGATGATACTTCTAGAACGCAGCATTTGTTCTTTGTGCTTAAATTGTGTTGACAATCACTTTAATCACTATTATTTCAACCCATGTACTGTTGTGTACTGTACGTGTTACTTATAGTACTCTGTGGATCACAGGGAAGGAATGGTAATTTACAATCTCTTTCTAATTCTACAGTGAAGTTGATCGATGGGCTACGTTGTTAAGTAGTGGTAGAAAACGTTAAGTTCTCATTACACGGTAAAAGACATATTACATCTACATATCTAAACCAAATTGCTGAAGGTGGTAAACTATTATTAATTTCTTAAAATATTCCATATATCGGTTGCTCAACACTGGTCAATGACGATTACCCATCGCCAGGGATTCTGTGATGTACTCGAACAAATCATCAACTGGGATCTTTTTAAGCGGTGATGTTACATCAAAACTGACCAGTCTAAAATCATAATTAATGTGTAAGTTATTGAGATCACGTTTTACATGTTCTTGAGATTGTATTTGTGTGTGTCTGATGTATGTTGCTGTAGGATTCGTTTCCTTATGTTTAAACATGACTGTTTTAATACTGATATTTGTTATGTATTGTTGTAATAATACCCTTCCCTCGTCGCTCTACATCCTGTCGTAATAAGGACTTATGAAACTTACACGACGGATATCTAATTAACTTAACATCGCCAACTACAGCATAATGTGTCAGCGGCGTCATTTTAAAAGTTGATCACTTAACTTCTTCACTAAAGTCTTAGACGAAAACCTTCAAGAATGATAAACATAACAGAATGGATATCAATCCATAGAAAGCATACATAGGAGGATGTCAAGACTAATTCCGGGCATTAGGAACCTTGAGTACAGAGACAGGTTAAAGCATCTTAATCTGCACTCCCTTGAGAGCCGTAGAGTGAGGGGCGATATGATCGAGGTGTATAAATGGAAGTCAGGACTAAACAAAGGTGATATAACAAAGGTACTCAAACTATCCAACCAGGAACGAACTTGCAGCAATGGTTTTAAATTAGACACATTTAGATTTAGGCGCAAGATAGGTAAACATTGGTTTGGAAATAGGGTAGTGGATGAGTGGAACAAGTTACCAAATATCATCATTAAATCGAACACGCTGGATAGTTTCAAATATAGGTTTGATGACGGATATATGAGCGATAGTGGTTAGGTGTAAACGGGACTGCCCAGTATGGGCTACTAGGCCCGCTGCAGTTTCCTCCATTCTTATGTTCTTACATCAATCATGACCTGGACAACAGACTAATACGGTTATGGCACTGGAGCATAAGTCAACAAATGTTACCAGATGGAGAACTGACTGAACCTGTTGTGTCTCTCGTGAAGATTATCGGTAGACGAGGACTCATACAACAGGAAAGTTAACCGATGTACCTGTGTTACTCGGAGAAATGATCAGCCAGCCAGTCAAGCGCCTCGTAGATACCGGAGGAGGTGTCGTGTAAGGACCAGGGCTGCTGCTTTTGGTTGAGGTTGAGAGCGTCAATGACCTCGGCAAAAGAGATGGCTTGTGGAATGTCCTGCTTGTTGGCCAATACGAGCAGTGGACACTCCGCGGCCCCCTCTCCCTGCAGCTGTGGAAGATCAGTGAGATATTAAAGGATCCTAAATAATCACAAACGAGACTTTACACGTTATATCCAACAGCAAATGTAACGCTTATACAATGTTATGGCAGTACTTATAATCAAAGTTCCTGTTATTCTCAGTTCAGGTCACTTACAATTCGCCTGGAAATTCTACAAGTTTTCATAAATCAGAGGAATCGACTGATGTTTAACTTGGGTCATAGTAGACTGTCAATTTACACCCATGTATCTACACGGCTCACTTAGGCTGGCTGACTCAGCAATACAGAGTCGATTATCTGGCTTTGGGTTCATGTTTTGTCACTACTACGCATTCGCTAAACTCAGACAGTTTCGGTCTGGTTCACACAAAATAAACCTTGTCTAACTTACGCAAGTGGAACTTGTAGGGCTTCTTATTCTGTAGCAGTGAACTGATATGACTCAAGATAAGTCCCATGTGTTCCTCTTCTTGTGTAAGTCACTTTTCTTCTTCACTTTTTGTACCAACAAAGTGTCTTGGTCACGTCACTGTGTCACACTGTCAAGAGAGATATGTACCTTGATTAGCATAAGTTTGGTGATCATATGAGGTAATTCTGTTTACTTTATGAATGAGAAGGTGAGGCCGTGGAGTCTGGGACGTAAATGGTGAGGGCTGAGACTGTCCCATGAGAAGGTGAGGCCGTGGAGTCTGGGATGTAAATGGTGAGGGCTGAGACTGTCCCATGAGAAGGTGAGGCCGTGGAGTCTGGGACGTAAATGGTGAGGGCTGAGACTGTCCCATGAGAAGGTGAGGCCGTGGAGTCTGGGATGTAAATGGTGAGGGCCGAGACTGTCCCATGAGAAGGTGAGGCCGTGGAGTCTGGGACGTAAATGGTGAGGGCTGAGACTGTCCCATGAGAAGGTGAGGCCGTGGAGTCTGGGATGTAAATGGTGAGGGCCGAGACTGTCCCATGAGAAGGTGAGGCCGTGGAGTCTGGGACGTAAATGGTGAGGGCTGAGACTATCCCTGCATTACATTATATAGGGGCTAACAGTCCACGTTGTTTGACCACGCTCTCTAGTCCACGCTGACTGTGAGGTGTGCAGTGCCGCGGCCTAACAAAACATCACTTGACATCATCCAAACATCAACATACTCAAGTTCTTATCAGACACAGTTGTTTAGTTATCAGTTATAATGTTATCAAGGTGCCAGATATAACACCAGTACATCCACGATCTCTATTTCCCTCAAATACGAATGCTTCAATAGCACAATTAATGGTCCATGAAATGTAGAAATAGAATTAAACTCTTAGTGTGGTGGGTCGATCTGTTATTAAATGGTTATATTTTTACTTTAAAATTTGGGTTTCGCTGAATATAAAGGACACACACACACACACACACTGTTACAACGTCTCTTAATTTACTTAAATATCCAGGTTCTAGGCTTTACCAAACAAAAAAGTGAAGTAAATTAAAAGGGAATAAAAATAAATAAAGTAAACCTTTAAGAATTTAATTAATTAAATATTAACACAATAAAGAGCCTCGTAGGCTGTCACAACAAATTAATTCACCATCGAAACTTTTAAGACATAAATGATACTAAACATCGAAACATCAAAAGAATACAAATAAAGCATAGGATTACGTTAACACTGCATAAACATATAAAACCAAACACTGAAATTAACTAACGTGAAACAACACTGAATTACTTAAACGTAACTAAGCAAATACTGATGGACACAAACAGAGACAAATAGGTACTCACATAGATATACCACATTGGTGGCGACAGGAACAACACAAATAAATTAAGTATAAGTAACAGGTGACGAGTGACACTCAAAGGATGTGGACTGTATGACAAGAGGACTGAACTAACTCAAGTCAGTTGGTGGGTCCTATATATAAGGTCGGCTCCCGCCACGCGACCCGCCGGTGGGTCGTTTAACGATGCAGATGGTCGTTAGAGTACAAAGAATGCTGGTTACAATACAGAATGGGTTTGAACAAATAATAACAGTTAAAACCTTAACAGCACAGGGTAAGGTGACTAGAATATATAATAGTAAATACAACACATCATTACAGGAATAATATGGAACATGGAAGCATGTTATATAAAAAAAAATAGAAAAATACGACACGGTCGTAACAACACACACACACACACACACACACACGTCTTAGATCTAATGGCAAATAAAATACAATTAAATACCACACTACGTATGTACACTCGCTAACAAAAGTCCTGTCGCCTCACCAGCCTCTTCGTGAACCCAGAGATTCAGAAACTTTCTAAGATGAACAACAGGTGATACATGTTCCTCAGGTCACCGCTCCTTACCCTGCGCCTCTGTGCCTATGTAACAAAAACACCAAATGTTCCCTTAAACCATCCATATGTACGTCCTTGTTTTGTTTTGGTCCTTCCGGTGAGAAAGTTAATACCTCTACTCCACGTCTGGTGTGTGCACGAGAGACGCAGACTTATAATTTTCCTTTTAAACAGACTTACGGTATGTGGTAAAGTGAAAGGTGATTAACTCTTAAATTTTGGATATGGATAATCCCGGTTTGAATCCTGGATATGTATTTTTAGTTTAAATATTGGATACTATTACTAATTTGAGCTATAAATATTTACTCTTAGTTGTTATCTTAAAATAGATATTCTCAGTATTATTCAGGTCAAACATGAGACACAAGTAAGAATAGTGAGATGTATTAAACGATTAAGAAACAACATTATCGATGGTGATAAATTAACCTGTTTATGTCCTCAGCAAAGTTGTTTGTCTTCTCTTATTTAAGTTATGATAGAGAAACAAAGATTCCAAATTATTTCATTTTATTTCAATATTTTCTATTAAGGCAGAAGAACAGTTGTGATTGGTGGAGGAAGCTTATTAATATATCAGGTTCTATATCATGTTAAAAGTTGCACCATCTGAAGTTTGTTGTCTGAATAAAAAACTTGGTTCAATACAATATGAGAACTAGAGATAAAATACAAGCTTTAAACGCGTGGTGAGAAGTGAGGGTTGGCCCCATGCACCCAAGCTTCGCTAGTGGGGGGTGTGGATAACACTCTGGGCCAACACTGCACTCTGAGGTCTTTCTCTTCCCCAACAGACAAATAAGGCATCCATTTTGCAGCTGGGTTGACTGGGGGCGCCGCATCCAGTGGCCGGCTGCAAAACTCGAACTCGAGATCTTTGGGTCACAAGACGATTGCTATATCTACTTAGCCATCGTCTCACTTTAGCAAGCAACAGTATCATAATGATGCTGGTGAACTAATCTGGGTATGAACAGGTGTATCCAAAAGATACCTGAAGCTGTGAAAAACCATCCTATCCCGATTATTTATTTTATCATTAATTTCTAATCAGTGTCCGAGGTCAATAAAGGCAGGCGGTATCTAGCTCCATAGACCAATAACAAAGACATTTCGAACTTCATCAATTCAAAACTTTGCTCAAGGTAATAAAGTTACATGAGTGTTACTTAATATCACACAGTCACCTTGGATATTTACTGTGACTGTCATCACTTGGGTACGTGGTTAAGCAGCCAGTCAAGTCCTTCTTGAATGCCAAAAGGTTTGATGGCACAAGTTGGCTGCACGAACCAGAGTCGGTCCAAGTGACGGAGCTGCAAGATGTCAGTGACCTTCTCGACGGAGGCCGCTTGAGGCAGGTCCTGTTTATTAGCCAACACCAGGAGTGGATGTCCAGCAAGCTCGTCACATTTCAACTGGAGAGAAAAGGTAAACAAAGAACGCTGAGCATCATAGGTACCCATAAGGTAAGAGTATACAAACAGTGAAAATGATAGGGTTAATCCCCGTCGTGTTCTTTAAAGCTTTCTCCTTGAGGGAGGGAGTAACCATCACAGATAAAATCCTACTCACAGTATTATACGCTTAGATTATACATTACTCCTTACTCTCTTCAGTGCTATCAACGCTTACGGATTTCATTCAGCTTCGAGACAACCTTCGGCACTGAGTTGTATAATAAACAAATAATGGTGTCACTGTGCCAGGCCATTGTATGAAATATGAGTTGCAAAATATAAAAAAAAACCTTTTTGGTGAGGCACTTGGTCACTATTGTTCCTAAATTTTGCTCGAACAAGCAAGTGAGCGAGCAGGAAAACTAACACACACAAAAAAGCAGTAATCAATAAGTATCCCCGTGGAGCACACGCGTCGCGCGTCACCTGGAGACGGAATGGAATGGAAGGAGAAGAGGTGTACACAAAAACTAACGTGGTTGTCGTGACCATAGTTCCAGTTAACAGCACAGGGGACTTACCAACTCCTTTAGCCTTGACCGAGACTCGACCAGCCCCTTCGGGTCGTTGCTGTCGATGACGAAGATGATGCCGACAGCTTCAGGGTAGTAGTGCCGCCACAGTGGCATCATTTTACTCGGAGTGCCAATGTACCAGGACAAGAAAGAGAATTTGTCGTATTCCACGACCTCCACATCGAAACCTGATGAGAAATACTACCAGGGTAAACCAACGCTGATAACATGATCTGTTTACAACTGTTGCAAAATCATTTGTATTTATTTTTTAGAATTTATGTTCATCAGTATATTCCATGTTATCAATCACTTACTTGACAATCAAAAAGAAAAATTAATAACATATTTTAAAATAATTGTATTATTTGTTTACCAACAGTTGGCGTCAGTGTGAGGACCTCGCCCAGCTGCAGGTTATGAAGCACTGTGGTGATCCCGGAGCCGTGCAGCCCAACTGAACATGAGAGAGAAAACCAAGTAATGTTAATGGGAAACTCTGAAGAATGTTGTGCGGGTAAAACCACTGTTTTTTATGACTTATTTGCTTATAAAAGTTATATTAAATATCGTTATATATTTATACAGTATGTAGGCCTATATGTTACACTATAGTGGGGATATTTACTGGTTAACGATAACTTGTAGGTATTTATTTTTAATTTCTGACTAACCACAGGCAACAATGTTAATAATCATAACGCATATACTGTAGATGAGTGACTTCACCCTAACCTAACCTAAACTTACTGAACGTCTTAAATTACACAAATTGTTTTAATATGTACGATTTAATTTCCATTAACTTATAGGAATTTAAAAAGTTTGAAATATTTGACAAACTCGTCTGTCGTTACGTAAATCTTAATGAGCCATCACCCCCTACTTAGCGCGCTAGAGTGGAATATTGAATGAGTGACACCATAGTATTGTATTCCAACACTCATCAGATTAATAATGTAAGTAATTCTTCAGAGACAACCCACCTCAGGCAGGGTCAAGAAGGTCATTAGCACTAGCCTCTGTTCACACTAGAGACTGGCAGAATGTCATTAAGAGGGCTTGTTTTTACCGGTCTCTGGTGCTCACACTCACACCTTTGTCTATATAGATATAATTTATTATGTATCATAGTGTTCTAAAAACAAAAACCACTCAGATGTTTTTAAGAAAATCCCGACCACTTAATAATGGCAGATAAGGTTAACCAATACAAGATAACTAAGATCACTCCGGTTATAATAGACTAAAGCATCACATAACACGATTACATGCGTATAGGTAAACAGTAATTCGACACTGGGTGACTGGTTGGGAGAAAACCACATGAGCTTCATTTATACACAGTCTATAAAGTTCGTGTACAGCTTAAAATTGTTAATAACTACATTTCTATAGGAGATAAAAGCATTCTGTAAAATGCAATAAAGAAATAATTTATTCCAGTTTTAACACGAACAAAGAAATTTATTTATTCCATTTTTTCTTTAAGATAATCGACCCAACACTAAACGAAATGGCTTAAAAGTTGTATTCTGCTTTGTATCCGTAAGGATGACGGAGATGTTGAAGATTAAAATACTAATATTACAGTTGTTAAAACTGACAAGATTCTGTTTCGTTGCTGAATCATTGTATTTAAGAGATTATCATTTTTACTCATGGAGTTAAGTCATTGTAGACACGGAGTTGTCAGCATTACTCGAGGAGTTTAGTCATCACAATCAAGAGGTTTAGCCATCGTGCTAAAAGTACTAAGTCATCGTGCTCAAGGGTATGTCATCGTAATTAATGTGCATAGTCATCGTATTCAAGGATTAATTCATCGTATTGACATCCTACTCAAGGTCTTTAACCATCAATATCAGTATAATGAGGTAAGACGTGGGAGGGGCTGTAAAGTCATGAAGCTGGTAGCGTGGTTCTGTGTATCAATGATCATGGTGTTGGGGTAACTAAGGGCAAGTACTACACGTTCTTTATTAGTTAACTGATAAAACATGGAAATTACTCATTATGGATGGATATTCACAAGATCATTACTATGTTATTTCTAGAGCACAGATTACACCTATGGTTATGGCAGACAAGTTACCACAAAGCATGGATTATCAAACAGGGCCTACTGCCACTACTTCCCTTGAGGATCTAGGAACCTTTCTACACAAACGAATCAACTCACGACTGCGACACTCAGAGAGAGAGAGAGAGAGCGAGGCCTCCAACTCTGTGCCCAAGACTCTGTTCTTCTGACTGACTTACTCTGCTCGTTGGGGCAGTATTTATTTGAAAAAAAAATCAAGGCCAAGTTTACCCACAATGTTTTCTTAAATTAACGTGAAGAAAATGTAGAAACATGACTCATATGGAGGTCAGTCCGGCTCATCTTACGCATCAACCATGGGGTAATAGTGTCCCGAGTACCTTAATGGCTTTGGTCACCTCCCTCAGAATTGGGTCGCTTATTCCTCAGTACTATGCTATACTTCTTGTCTGTTCACTAGATAAAACTGAGGTCCTATTGTACTCAAGAGGTTAACTTATCAGAATCGAGAGGCAAAGTCATCACACACAAGGTGCTAATTCATTTTATACTGAAGGGGTTATCATCGTACACAAGGGGTTATCATCGTACACAAGGGGTTATCATCGTACACAAGGGGTTATCATCGTACACAAGGGGTTATCATCGTACACAAGGGGTTATCATCATACACAAGGGGTTATCATCGTACACAAGGGGTTATCATCGTACACAAGGGGTTATCATCGTACACAAGGGGTTATCATCGTACACAAGGGGTTATCATCGTACACAAGGGGTTATCATCATACACAAGGGGTTATCATCGTACACAAGGGGTTATCATCGTACACAAGGGGTTATCATCGTACACAAGGGGTTATCATCGTACACAAGGGGTTATCATCGTACACAAGGGGTTATCATCATACACAAGGGGTTATCATCGTAATCAAGGGGTTAAGTCACCACAATCAGAGGTTCACTTCATGATGCTCTTACCTTCAATAATGAACAGACAGATTATGCAACTTACGTGTTAGAATCCTGCAGCGTTTCTTGCTCTGCTTCAGTCCCATGTTGACGTGTTTCCGTCTATGTTAGTCAGTCAGTCAGCTCTCTCCCTTAATGCTCAGTGACTTAAGTTTCTTGTTCGCGTCACTGCATCACACTGTAAAGAAGAATACCCTATTTAAGACATGTATAGTTAGGGCAAGATAATGTTACTGATTATATGAAGTGATTGTTGTTACAGTCACTAGTGCGTTTACAGCGACTCGTTACATAAAAATTCCGCAAATCATTTACTTCGAATTTTTTTTTTTTAATATTGTTTTAATTTGGTTCCATAGTATGTTTATTATTGAGAGTTTCCTTCTGTCGAATGTAAACAGACACAGGGCTGCCACGCTACACAAATCCTGACGAGCCCCTGTAAACGCACTAATGAAGGGGGGACTGTACTTTGTGAATGGGAGGGTGAGCCCGTGAAGCTCCGGGGGTGAGAGGTAAAATCCTAAAGCCGTCCGTAGTGGCCACCATCCAAAGCGTTGACAGGCCACTTGTAATTTCTATATTTGCCCAAGTTAGGTTAGGTTAGGTTAGGTTAGGTTAAGTGAGGCTAGGTCAGGTCAGGTTCTGATTAATAAGCAGTTCTCTGTCTTGTAAGTAAAGTTATGGTATGTGTAAAGTATTATTGGCCAAATATCAATACCATTCTTACGATGACGTCTAGTCGAAGATGTTTACTATATTACCCCCACCTAAATAATGATATAAACTAATACAACAATAAATCCTAGCAATAAATCCTTCCTTTAGCTGCCGGGAGGTTGGATTTGTTTACCATATTTATCTCAGTTGACTTCCTGCCGAAATAATGGTCTTCGGTTTAGGGTCTTGATCTGACACAGGTATATCATATAGGCTCATTTATCTGTGTCAATATCTTAAAACTAACAAAAGAAACAATAGTAATGGATTAGCCAGATGGGAAGGACATGGGGTTTAGTTTCCCCTTAATATTATAAACAATGACAAAACGAATAATCAAAGAAAATGTAAAATTATGGGTAAACTTTAAAATATTTGTTAACCCCATTTAAATAGGTAGATAAATCGATAGAAATTCAGTAAAATTTCCATATATACAAGTTTATATTGACGTAAATATATATATAAACAATGCAGGTATACAGTTCAACATGTATATAGGCAGTGCAGGTATACAGTTCTTCATGTATATAGGCAGATTGTCATGCCTAATCGTTTTTTTTTTTTTTTTCCTGGTCACACAAAGCGAATTACTTGGTTATAGATTGTCCTGTAACATATTGTTGATACTCTCACACTGGCCATCAACAAGTGAAAATTACAAGTTTTATCTCTTCAATTCGGGAGTGTCCTTCGTATCTCCCGCGCCAATCACTGGACAAAATATATTGACAAATATCATGTGACGTTAAAAGCTAAAAAAAAAAAAACTACAGAAATAAAGACATGGTGCACATCCCGTTGGTCATCAATATATTCACAAGAAAGAGTCAAAATCTCTTCATTTGGTTTTCATTTGTTTTAAAAGCAGACGACAACAAAGAAAAGCAGACGACAACAAAGAAGTTCAGACGACAACAGGCACACGTGTTTTTTTCTGTTAAATTGTTAGAGTTGTTTTATCAGATCTTCATATCACTCCTCGTATGTTATTTTGTTTATCAGTTCCCTTAACTAGGTCTCGTTAACAGATCCAGGAGACCCTTGACACAAATCAAGCTGTCACTCGGTGGCTTCCGGTGAGACAGACTTTTCCTAAGTTGGCATGCAATCAACACATTGCTAGAATCCCGCGTCACTGCCTGAGTTTCAACGTGTCGAATTTTAATACATTTTTTATTAAATATGTAATGCCTTTTGAAGTATAGACAACAGTGTGCTTAATAAATATACGATATGGCGAACAGGAGATCCACCCGTTATTGTTCATAAGTTATGGAAATATATGGTATTGGTAGGAAATAACAGCACTATAATAATTTTAGTTGGCATCGTCTCTCATACCACTACCGATCCCAAGGTCAGGGATCAAGCTTGTCCCTGGAGTAAATGAGAGAGAGAGAGAGAGAGAGAGAGAGAGAGAGAGGTAATATCGATAACAGATCACAACTGCCTGTGTACCTGCGACTCGTGACAGCTATACAGGTCACTAACCTCCTTCCCCCGTCGTGGCCGCCTATAGGTGGGGTGGCACATGGTCTAAATATTTAATCCATGGAGGGGCACTTGAGGTAAATCCGATAGGTAGGTAAAACAGTGGCGTCACATCACTCCGGCGACACAAACCACAGACGCGCGGATATTGATTCCGTTCAGATGATGGTGCAGTTAATCCCGGATATTAGAGAGCTTGAATACAGATACTTTTAAGAAACCTGAATTTACACGTTCTTGAGAGACGTAGAGTGAGGGGCGAGATGATTAAAGTACACAAATGACAGGTCGGATTAAATACGGTACCTAAACAATTAAACCTGGAGTGAACACGTAGTAATGATTTTAAATTGGGAACATTTAGATTTAGAGGGAAATTAGATAAATAATGGTTTGGCAGTAGAGTCGAGGACGAGTGAGACTAGTCATCAAATACCACCATCAGTGATCAAAATCGCTGGGAAACTTCAAATATACAGTAGGTTGAAAAGACAAGTGAGTAATGGGGTTGGGCGTCAACAATAGAGGGAAGCGGAGTACAGTCTTCTCATGCGGGGAAGACATATTATGAATAGGACTGTAATGTTTCTAAACTTGGCTGTAACCCAAAGCTCAGTCTGTGATCAAATGCGGTGATACCATTGTCAACTAGGCTGTTAGTGCCTGTGGTAACTTAGTGATGGTAATTAGTTTCATGAGTCTAGGGCCTCAGCTGTTACCATTATGTTCTCACTTAACCATGGCGCCCTGTTGCACCTTGTATCATATTTATCACTTCAGGAACTCATCATGTTAATATACCGGACACTTCACTCCAGGAACTCATGTTAATATACCGGACACTTCACTCCAGGAACTCATCATGTTAATATACCGGACACTTCACTCCAGGAGCTCATCATGTTAATATACCAGACACTTCACTCCAGGAACTCATCATGTTAATATACCGGACACTTCACTCCAGGAACTCATCATGTTAATATACCGGACACTTCACTCCAGGAACTCATCATGTTAATATACCGGACACTTCACTCCAGAAGCTCATCATGTTGATATACCGGACACTTCACTCCAGGAACTCATCATGTTAATATACCGGACACTTCACTCCAGAAGCTCATCATGTTAATATACCAGACACTTCACTCCAGGAACTCATCATGTTAATATACCGGACACTTCACTCCAGAAGCTCATCATGTTGATATACCGGACACTTCACTCCAGAAGCTCATCGAGTTATTGTGTTGATTGGGGCTCAGACATTTAAAGTCTTTCCTATATGAGGCACACCTCTCGTGTCTGGGGAGGACAACCTAGTGCTGAAGGCGGTCCCAGTATTACAATATTTTCCCCCGTGTTGAGTGTATTTCCTCAGCTTGTTATCTAGTTGAGGGATTTATCAGCTTTAAAATACTAGTATGAGTCAACAATGATCCCTGACATCGCCAGAGTACATGTGGTGACGTGAGCAACGATGTCAATAGTATATTTGTGATGGTGTGTTGTGGTGAGACCTATATCTGTCAAGACGCCATGATGTATCGCCTACTGGAAAGCAAAATGCAGAGCTGTGTATTTAAAAACAAATGGCTGATTATATAAACATCGGGTAATAATCATTTTGAATTTATTGATAAATTTATAGACATACATGTTTACACCCACCAAAGGAAGAAGGTTACATTAAGGTTGATATAGAAGATAAAATAAGATGTTATATTTTCGTCGATTGGAAAAGTCAGTAATGTGGATGGTTACCTAAAGTTAATTGTATTCTGATGTATATTTCCTGACTTACAATTTTGTCGATGTAAAAATAAATATCTCAATATTACTACAGTGGTTCTATGTAATAACTGTTATAATGAAACAGAACCAATGTAGTAAGAATATAGGTTCCCCTTCACATCATCTTCAATATATCACAGCATCTTCACTAAATTACATCTTCAGGATATCCACTTCATCTTCACTAAATTACATCTTCAGAATATCCACTTCATCTTCACTAAATTACATCTTCAGGATATCCACTTCATCTTCACTAAATTACGTTATCTTCAGTACATCACGTCATCTTCAGTACATCACGTCATCTTCAGTACATCACGTCATCTTCAGTACATCACGTCATCATGTCTAGGGGTCGCCGTCACTGGTATCTTGAAGTATTTCTGGAACTTATTATTATTATTATCAATATGTTTGTGCTTTTTTTTTTGCACCACCATTTTAACATATAACTAAAATTTAAAAGGATTATGTAATAGAAGGTAGAGCCTGAAATTTGGTATACTTATGCTTAAGTTAACTTTACTTCGTTCAAACACAAACACAGACAACATGAGGGATATTAGGCAGTGTTGAGTTATATTGAATTCATCAATCAGACCAACCCCGTCATTGTGTGTATTTTTAAGTTAAAGAATTTGTTTTTTTAATATATAGTTTTATCAATAGTCTACCTGTTCAATTGGTCATTAATGCTGTGATACTCACCTTGATGCTGCACAAGGGTAGTGTTATCAAGGGTGTTCTTATAAGCCTGTAAATATGTTATTTGTTTATCCCTAAAGCATCTTTCTTCCTTCAGATCAGAAACTTGTGTATTCCGTCTGGCCAGTTCAGAGTACATACACTCTTCCGTTGTCCTCTTCCTCTGCCTCATCCTCTTGGCATAAACAGCACGTTGTCTCCGTTCTTCCAAACAGGGGTCCGCTTGTGGCGGCATCTGATGCCATTTGATCTTCTTCCCAGGAACCGACGAGGTGTCTGAAGGGCCTGTTGATGAGTGGCTGGCGTCGCTCAAGGATGGGACCATGGACGAACCACCAGTTGCTGACGCCTGTGTAACTGCTGTGTTCCAGATGACGGTCCCGAAGAGGTCTTGTCCAGATGGGACACCTGCGTCAGTCGATCCAAATGTCCTGTAGTCATGACCCTCGAATTCATATGCGTGTCTTGAAACAGAATGTGTACCACCGTAGGGCGGGAGGTACGATGGTCCTGCACCATTCTCTGTACCACCGTAGGGCGGGAGGTACGATGGTCCTGCACCATTCTCTGTACCACCGTAGGGCGGGAGGTACGATGGTCCTGCACCATTCTCTGTACCACCGTAGGGCGGGAGGTACGATGGTCCTGCACCATTCTCTGTACCACCGTAGGGCGGGAGGTACGATGGTCCTGCATCATTCTCTGTACCACTGTCGGAGGAGTGGAACAAGGGTTGCACAGCAGGATCTAGACTACTATGACAGGGTGGTGAGGTAAGGAGATGATCACTTGTGGCCGGCGGGAGACAAGAGACACTCTGGGGGTCGGGGAGGTCTTGGGGATCAGTCGGTTGTCCAGAGTATGGAAACATGTTGTGGCGGTGTTAGTACTACACTAGTCACTGGGCGGCAGTTGGTACAGTTATGTGATAACTTGTGTAACGAAAGCACTTAAGATTTATCCCTTATATACCATCACGTGCTGGTCATTAGTCGGGATATCCTGAAGCTCATTAGAACGTTCCAATTCCTTAGTTGTTTAACTTATAAAAACATTTCCTATAAAAAAAAACCCTCGGGGATGGATGGCACACTCATATACTTCGAGGTACTGGCACCACGAGGAAATTTTATGTAATTTTCATGGAAGAACCGTACAAAAATTACTATAATTATAATTAATAATTACCGATGACACGAACTAGAATTTTTGTGCTGGAATTTTCGTTCAGCTTAAGATTTCGTTAATGAACCGAATGAAGGTATTTTGGGTGTTTAATTATTTGAGATGTTTAACACGACGAGGGAGTATTTTACTACTCTAGGAACACATGCTAGGACAATCTCCTTTTGTCTTTGTTCACAAATTTTGTTTTGTCTGCCTCTCCCTCCCTCTCTCTCTCTGTCTCTCCTGCCATCCGATAATAATTTCTTGATGAGTTATATAACAAGTTCGTCTCATCTGTGTGTCACTCATAGACAGTTTATTATATATATATATATATATATGAGTTTCTTTTGATTTTTAATGTTGTTAGCTCCTGTGCTGATGTGCGTTTGTGGGGGGGGGGGGATGATTTTCTCCACAGGGAGGTGTAGTGCATCTAGTGTGACAGCATTATGTTAGTGTTAAAATGCTTGCATTACTTGCTTCCTCTTACTTTCAATTACTGCTACTGACTAGCCCTCGTGGTGTACAGGGAGACAGCTTTGCATAATATATCAAGATTCCTACTGTGCCTCCTCGTGGCAATACACGGTAACTGGGTGCCTTGCGGCCCGATGTTAAATCAGCAGGGAATCTCGGAGCAGCAGCATGTGGACACGCCCTGGCGCCTACCGACCACAGCCCCGCTGCCTTGCGCATTAGCCTTTATAGGTATAAGGCTGCGGGAGTAAACCCCAAACGAAAAATCTGCGGTGGAGCCCCGCATCAGGCAGACATGCTTTCAGAGCTCCAACAAGAACCCAATGGTAGAATAGGTGGAAGAGGTGACCATGGGAACCCAACGACTGCATCAGCAGATGAAGGCAATGCAAGATGGACAGGCTACTAAGGCGAAACCCAACAAATTGGTCTATCGACAGTCCATTGCAACTCTCCCTCTCCCCAGTTGTTGCAGCTGCCTGCACCACTGGATCAGCAAAGGGAGAGCCAAGATGTGTGGTTGCCGCCTGCACTCCTGCCTCACCACATAAATCAACTCACCACAGCCATCATCCAGCTCATCATACTGTACTCACCATCGTCATCTGAAGCCCTAAACCAACGTTGACAGACGAGTAGCGACGAGGATAGGCAGAGATGACTGCCGGGAGTCTCAAGTCATAACTCGGCACATGGGCCGTATAGACAAGATGATGCAATCCGGTTCTGTCTGTGCGACTCAGCAGCCCTTCTCAGGACCCACTCTACACACCCCACAAGGCGAGGGGGTTAGAAAAGGTGACCCTAAACATAGCCTGCCTAAAAAAAAGGAAAAAAACTGACTTGGCAACCGCACCCAGTAAGCGTCATCCTAATGCTTTCGAAAACATAATCACAGATCAAATAAAAAACAAAATATCCAACCTCTTATGGTTACTGCAGGGAATGTCGGAACCCTTCTCCACTCATCCGATGGTAAATCCCTAATTAAACACGAATAAGTCATTCTTCAGCGCTGGAAAGAGCACTACCATTCGCTGCTCAACCGAAACACCGATGTGGATGTCCTGACTACCCAGCAGGTTCCTCAGCACCCGAAACTAAACCACCTCAGCTATCCTCAATCCCTGGATGAGGTAATTACTGCCATCAAGCAGATGAAAAATAACAAAGCCTCAGGGCCTGATGGAGTCCCAGCCGAAGTGTGTGAGGCAGGAGGACCTCTGCTTACCAGCCGTCACCACTCTCTCCTGTAGAATATATGAAAGGAGAAAATCCCCCAAGCTCTTAAAGACGCCTCCGTCGTCAATATTTATAAGAACAAGGGAGACCGATCAGACTGTGGCTGCTACTACGTGATCTTGCTGCTATCCGTATCTGGCAAGATTATCGCCCGAGTCCTCCTAAAACTTCCTCCCAGAATCTCAAAGTGACTTTAGACCATCACGTGGCACCACTGACATGAATTTTGCTTCTGCACGAAAGGTGCAGAGAACAGCACTATGACCTGTACATGGCCTTCCTTGACCTAACCAAAGCCTTCGGCTAGGTCAGCAGGGAAGCCCTTTGGCGGACCCTCTGCCGTTTTGGTTGCCCATCAAAATTCATTGCCATTGTAAGGCAACTCTACGATGGCATGAACTGCAGTGTCCTGTACAATGGCACACAGTCTGAGTTCTTCACCATCCAAACGGGAGTAAAACAAGGGTGTGTACTGGCACCAACTCTCTTTTCCATTTTCTTAACTGCCTTCCTTACTTGTGCCAGTGCCAATTTAGCCTGCGGGGTGGACATCCAGTACCGGATGAAGAGGCTTTTCAACATAAGACGACTCCAGGCAGTAACAAAGGAGTTGGCCACTTCCATCACTGAACTTCAGTCTGCAGACGACCTCATCCTTGTCGCTCACACTGAACGCGACCTACAGGAGATTCTGAACACTTACATAGATGCGTATGCACACTTCGGCCTTGAGGTGAATGTATGTAAGACTCTGATTCTCTTTCAGCCTGCCCCTGGTTCAGCCACACCTTCACCATCCATCCAGCTAAACGGTACTACCCTCTCTAATGTTACCTACTTTCAGTATCTCGGCTCCCACCCGTCCACCACCGCGGATATCGATGAAGAGATTCAACATAGGATCAGCTGTAGGAAGCTGAAATTATCTACAAAGTTGCACATATATTGTGCAGTGGTTCTGCCCACCCTGCTATATGGCAGTGAGACATGGGTCACATCCAGGAGGCAGTTTCAAGGCACTTAAAAATTTTCACCAACGGAGGATGGAGATTCTCCGAGTTCGCTGGGAAGACAAGAGAACAAATACCGGTATTCTTGCTGACACCAACTGTAGAAGCTTTATCACTCATGTTGGTATTCTTCCTTATTAGAAACATCTATGTGTGTATTGTTTATACTGAGTGTAAATTCCAACACCTATTTATGTCAAGTGAAATTACATCTAGGAATCTTTTCCACCAATCAGCTCCATCGTTACAATACTACTACGGGTTCATTCATAAGTTTACTCTAGTATCGCGACCCTGCCACATAGCCACAGACGTCAACAAGAGGATAAAGGAACTCTCTGAGGCAACCGTACATGTATGTATTGGCTCCTGTGGTATTAGCTAAGTGTAGAACTATGACACATAATATATATTGTGTCCTAATAAAGTGGGAACAAGTTAACTTCCATTGACCTCTATAATAATAATTAACCTGAGTTCTCCCAAACCCCAATGGACGAAGTTATATATAATACTTTATTAACGAAGACAGAGGTAGAGTGAGATTATTGAAGACAAAATATTCCGATGGCTATAATGTTGAATGTTAAACTTAATATAATTTCATATCTAGTAAGCAATAGGCAGAAGTTACATCACACAAAGAGAGAGAGAGAGAGAGAAGGAGAGAAAGAGAGGAGGGGGAGAAATCAATGGGAAGAGAGAACTAAAGAGATAAAATGGCAGAGATGAACAGAAACCCTTGTGGATTCAGCATCTGTTTTCTTTATTCTAATTAGGAAGTTAAATAATAGATTCCAATTGTACAAAAATATATATTTATTTAAGCAATTTTTCAATGACATAATAATACTTGGTATATTAACACACACACACACACACACACACACACACACACACACACACACACACACACACACACACACACTGGTTATTCTTTGTTATTTTTCTTCCTTTAACAAACAGCAAACAATCAATCGTCACTCCTTTAATTCTGGAACAATTAATTTGTAGCTTTGTGTTCTTAGATCCTTGTTCCAATACTCCCTGATGATTTAGTCATTACTTCTCTTCTAAGTTGCTCTTTGTTCATAATTTTATAACTCAAGAGCATAAAGTTGGCACAATTTTAGTTCATATGAGACAATGGAAAGGTATAGAGTGTACGTATGTTAATTATATTACATATTTAAATCAGGTTTCACTGTAGTAATCTCATAGTTCAGCAAAATTATTAACTTAACAGAAATTTCATGCACGTATTTGTTTTTTTCATTTCTCTGCGGAGTTGTGTTCAATTGAATTACAGTAGTTCAGTTGGCCTTGTCGACAATCTGCCATCTTCATGTTCCACCACCAAGAGTTTAAACGTGTTTGTAGACCGATTATCACACTCCTGGGTTGTTAGGTTAGGTTAGGTTAGTAGTGAATAGGCAACTTCGACGGGTTTTATCTCCGAAATCACCAGACAAATTTCAGACGATGATGACAGCGTCGAGACAACCCGCTGTCATGCTACTTCGTCAAGACTCGTGGTTCCTGGCGGCCGTGGAAGTCCTCATCACTCAGTCTTTCCCGTCAATCGAACAAACCTGATAGGCACAAGGAGTAGTTTTCACAGTTTTTATTTCTTTTAAATTTAATGTTGGACTGCCATAAAAAAATCATTATTATGAAAGTAATCTAAATTGGGCTCGAATCATCATGAATACATTCAATGATGAACAATTTTTATCAAGAGAAGTCTATATTTTTTTCCCTGCAGCTAAAAAAATTATCACAGAAAAATAAACATATGTGTCTCAATCAAAACAATAGATATGTGCTTAATACGTTACCATTTAATTTTGAAGAGGAGACTTTAGCACAGGAAGAGGTTCATACTAGTGGGCTCCCTCTGTAACATATCAACCTGGGCCTCTAGTTGTGTCACCAGATGCTCCCGTTTATACTTCTCTACCGTGAGTGTACTTATCTCATTGTCCAAGTTGTTGAGGATCTTTTGGAGGTTATCTTCTTGTTGACTGACCCTCCTTCGGTTATTGAAGGCCTTTATCGCCCGTATCCTCTTCTTCTCCAGCTTGGGGTCACTCTGGGGAGGCCATTCATATACCTTCAGCTTCCGATCAGTGGGAGTCCTTGTGTTCCTGCCAATTGGTGAGTGATCAGCGTCACTTGGCCAGGGAAACATGGGTTGGTCTGGACCTATAGTAGGCCAGCTTTCTGCATCAGTTGCCTGCGCTGGATAAATGCTTGTGTAGTCACATATAGACAAGTCGGTGAGGAGTGAACCCGCCGTACCTTCTTGGCATGTAGTGAAGGGTTGAGATACACACTCACCGTACTGAATGCCAATTTGGTTTGTCTCATTAATATCGTGACTGTGTTGGTTTTGGGGCCAGGACACTGTTGCTGCAGAGGGAGGCTGAGGCTCGCTGGGGTATAGCTGTAACGCTTCTTGATTTTGATATTGGTCATAATATTTGTAACTTTGATCATGGAGGTTCTTGTGTGAAGAATTCAATAGATCTGACCCTTCTGAGTCAGCAAATCTACCTAAGGCAAACATTTACACCGAGTTCTATGATTAGCGAGCGAAGGTCCTGTCACACGCCGGTACTAGATGAGTGAAGCGAAGGCTCCACTGTCGACTGTTTTTATACCATTTACAGGCAGACGTGTAAGGGGATTTTTTGAGGGGAAGATTAACTAAAAAAAAAAATTCCCGTCTCACTTATAGTATACCTAACAAACTGAAAACGGATGTGGTGTAAGCATTCCCTGGGCAGCGCGCTGGTACGGGTAATTTCCCAATGTTTTGGTCCTCACAGCGACACTCTTCTCGCATCCTGGTTGAACCTCAGGCTGTTTAGGTGACGTGCTCATCCTGTCAACCTTTCCCCTTTCTCTTTTCCTCCCCCTGGCCCTCCCTAGCTCACCAATGGGAGCATACATTACATTCAGTCTATTCCTTTTTTCTTTCATCGGAATCGCTTCGAAATGCCATGTGATTTTTAGTTATTTAGCTTTTTTTTTCATAGATTTTTAGAAAGTCTTTATTGGTTTTAAGGTGAAATGGCCGAAGATTAAGAACCTTAAAACTGAATTATAATATCGATTCTCGTACAATAATTACAGCTTGTATGCAACGATCACCTTCAGTAGCACGCTGGTTAATGGTAGAGAAAAGTCTTTACTGTGTACAAAGTTACTAATGCTAAGAACGTATAACACTGATTTTCTCGTCTTGAATCTAAAGTCCAACAACAGTCCTCACGAAACTACATTATAATTTCGTTTTAAAGGCGACTGATGGTTCCAGTTTAAAAATATTGGTCAGTAACACGATACAATTTTTATTTCAGTTGGGTTAAAGGAAACACTGTACTGGGAATTTGGTTTCCACACTATATCTCCAATGTCTGTGCACCAACTTTAAGATGCAGTAACAGTTTTGTTCATAACTAGAGAAAGTAGTCGGGGGTGAGGTATGAAGCAGTTTTTTTATTCAGAACCTCATGGTTATCTCAACTCGGCTCATTTAAAACAAACCTTTGATTGATTTTTTTTACCATTACCTATGAACATTACATTTATTACTTCTGGGTTGCCACTGCTACCGACGGGTTTACACTGAAGGTATCTGACAACGACAAGTTTAAATCAGTTGGTAAATTTTATATTTTTCAGTATTTTTATGTCTAGAAAATATGACCCAGAGTTTGGATAGATAATATAAAATAAAACACTGACGGAGTGTTAGTGTTGAAGGGGTCGAGCTTCTTGTGGGTCGAGCTTCTTGTGGGTCGAGCTTCTTGTGGGTCGAGCTTCTTGTGGGTCGAGCTTCTTGTGGGTCGAGCTTCTTGTGGGTCGAGCTTCTTGTGGGTCGAGCTTCTTGTGGGTCAGCTTCTTGTGGGTCAGAGCTTCTTGTAGGTCGAAGAGCTTCTTGTGGGTCAGAGCTTCTTGTCGAGCTTCTTGTGGGTCGAGCTTCTTGTGAGGCTTCTTGTGGGTCCTTCTTGTTTCTTGTGGGTCGAGCTTCTTGTGGGTCGAGCTTCTTGTGGGTCGAGCTTCTTGTGTCGAGCTTCTTGTGGGTCGAGCTTCTTGTCGAGCTTGTGGGTCGGCTTCTTGTGGAGTCGAGCTTCTTGTGGGTCGAGCTTCTTGTGGGTCCGAGCTTCTTGTGGGTCGAGCTTCTTGTGGGTCGAGCTTCTTGTGGGTCGAGCTTCTTGTGGGTCGAGCTTCTTGTGGGTCGAGCTTCTTGTGGGTCGAGCTTCTTGTGGGTCGAGCTTCTTGTGGGTCGAGCTTCTTGTGGGTCGAGCTTCTTGTGGGTCGAGCTTCTTGTGTTGTTGTAATGAGAATTATAAGTTTAGATGAATTAACTTTGAGCATGTAGAGAGGCTTCATTATCTCTCTCTTGCTAGACACAACGGGTCCTTCCGGTGTCTGTGCTCAGGTTTAAGTAAAATCGCCGTGGCTTAAGTTCAGAATAGTGCTACATACAGGACAGTGGTTCTTAACCTGTTTTAGATCATTAGCACCTTGGCGGTAACTAAACTGCCTCGTGGTATAGGGGGGAAAGGTCATCTGGAACAAACAACTTTTGCCTTCCAGTATATACAGTACAGTTGTGGCGAAGATTAATCCCATACGTAGTATTCTGCCACCCACTTCTTCGGCAGCGCTTCATGTTGCTTATTGATCAACGTCACCAACGCTTTACCAATCATCGCTCATCCAAAGGTGATAAATAAACAACTCATTGATTCACTGTAAAGAAAACGGAAAAGATAACAACACAGCAGTGACTCAAGTGTTCTGCATTTTTAACATCATCGTCAACCACTGTAAGAATAGGGAATAATTACTTTTATATCAACTTATAAAATTTATTAATATTTACTAACATTCGGCGACCACCATGCCGGGAGCCAGACCTGCCCTGTAGCAGCTGGGAACCCCTGTTGGTCTGATGTTATCCTTGCTGTATCACCACACCGTCCCCCGCGTAAACAGTTCGGGTTTAACAGATACGACGTTAGTTTGTGTGGGGTACTGTGTTACTAATGCCCACCAGGGAACGAGGTAATAAACACTACCATGAGACAACACTAGTACTAGGCTGTGATACTTATGGCGGCTGGACTAGCGAATGAGAAGACGCCCTTGATAATAATAAAAATTTCACTACAAGTAAAATGATTCTTAACTATCCTTGAGGCAGGAGAAGGACAACTCGGCCCCAGGTATCCAATAACAACACCGAGAAAGGAAGAAGTGCCCATCAAATAATTGTGTAAGGTTACTGTTGTAGCAACGGGGAAATTTCGATAAATTATAACATTTCAGCAAGATTATGATAACATGTTTCTATTGCTGCTACATGATTTTTTACAACCTTTTCATAACCTTACAATGTTCACAGGACGTTTACAACTTCCCTACAACCTTGCATGAGGTAACGGAACTTACATATTTAAAAGCTGATAATGATATATTGGAAGACATAACAGTAACTAATTAAGGAGCAGAAGTAACATATATTCAATAAGACTCCGATGTTCCTCAAATGTTTATTTGACAGCAAACAGCGGGGTATCTCTCACCAGCGTGCAAGTCCTGCCTGGCCCGTACACAAGTGACCCAACCAAACATCACAGGAAATGTACTAAGTGGCACTGACGTATTTAAAGGGAATCAACACAAAAAAAACTTTATCGTGTTCTGGAGACTTTTATGAAGCTGAGTATGATGTGCCACACTCGACCATACTAGAGACACTTCCTGATGCTTCACCACCCATAGTTCAGTCTCCTATCTGCAGAAGGATGGTAGTCTAGCTCTGGTACCGACGTGGGGAGTGAAGACAGGGCCCCGGCGGTGACGTCCTGGGCATCGGCTGAAGTGACGTCACCACATCGACGCCGGTGCAGCAACAGTGTTAGTAAACTTTGTGTCTCTGATATACTTTATCCTCTTCGCCACTGTCTGGCCTCACACGCCCGTATTATTAAACAGCATCTTCCCTTGAAGAGGGTCGTCGTGTTTCAACCCGAGTTTTAAACTAAATGAGTCCTGAGGGACACCGCAGTACAGTACTTACCGGGGTGGTGTGACGGTAAAATGAACTAATTCCAATATGGATGATGTAATTTCGGTAACATTTAGATACGTGAAAAATATGACTTTAGTAATGTGTGTGTTCATTTATATGTTACATACCTCGTGTATTCAACAGTAATATAGAAAACATAGCTTTTGGTTACATAATTATAAAACATATATCATTACCCGATACTTTTATTGATAATTTACAATAGGAACTGGTTTACTACTTTATGCAGAACATGAGTGACGGCTGACCACATAATCTCAACTGAACTGAACGACAGTGATTCCTTCAGCACATAAATATGAATGATTCAATTTAGGGGTAGTGGCTGGTTCATGGAATATTAGCGATAATTGAAAACTGGAGTACAAAATATTCATAACTGATCTAATACTTGATCCTAACATAATTACAGAACATCACTAACAGAATCAGTTCATGGGTACAGTAGTAAATCAAAGCTGGATTCATCGATGATGAATTTGTCATAACGCACAGTGAATAATTCTTGTTTACACTTCAACTGGGTATATTGAATACCTAATTATATCTAGTTTCACATAGACAATCTAATGACAGTCTCTAGAATTCTAGGTAGTTGTGTCTTTGACCTGATGAAGATCTGATGCCAGTTATCAGGTCTCATTAAGATATACAGAAAGGCCAGCAAACTGTCATGATAGAACTATCTAAAGATCCAAGTGTCGGTAATCAGAGAGCCATACTAGAATTACCCAAAATTTATACGTGAGAGTCATCAGGTGTTGATGTGTGGAGGTATATGCGTCAGTTGAGACTTAAGTAAGATAATCTTTTGGTCGAGCGCTCTTATATCTTCTCTCAGTTGTTGTTTTTCATTATTCTTATGGACGATACTTGTGTAAACTTTAGCCATGTTCTGGGATTTGTTTTCTCTGTTGTTTTTGGCTCGTTGTGAACGGAGTCTCTTCATCTCCAACTGAGGGTCGTCCTGGGGCGTCCACTGGTACATCTTCATACTGCGTCCAGTAGGCAGCTTCAACAGGTGCGGCAAGATGACCACCTGTCCACTCTTGCTAAACCAGTCTCTTTTTCCCTCAGCTGTAGTCGTTAGACATACACCACTGGGTGTGGGGGCATGGGAGGAATGAAAAGACGTCATCAAACTCCCACTGCTGGACGTCGATGTGTGGGGGACGTCAATCGTTGTCATCAAACTCACACTACTGGACGTCGATGTGTAGGGGACGTCAAATGTGTTCATCAAACTCCCATCATTGGACGTCGGAGTGTGGGGGACGTCAAATGTGGTCATCAAACTCCCGCCACTGGTCGTGGGAGTGTGGGGAACATCAGCCGTGGTCGTCAAACTGTTAACATTGGTCATGGTTGTATATAGGCCGTCACTCATCGTGTCCTCACAATACTTCTGGTCTTCTCTGATGGTTCTTGGTATCCCCGTGTTCATGTCGTCGAAAATTACAAATTCGTCATTATTTTTACAATGGAAAATTCCAGCAG